CAGGGTACCACATCTTCCACATCCCCCTGGGCCCTGTACGTGGCGTATATTGGGTTGGCCGAAAAAGTCATTCGGACAATGACCTTTCCAGCCAACACAGTACTTCCCGAGCTCTCCTTCTGAAACCTTCCCTCCCCTCAGCAGTATGTTAGCTCTTCAACAGGTTGTGTCAATAACATTTTTGTTGCAGACTTCTGTTTTATATCCTGACTGATTTTTCGTTTAGACACTCATCATTTTAGAAATCCCAGCTTGATCTCAAAACAGGACTGTTTTATCTGTTCCAGTCTGCGTTCCATTTTGCAGACTTCCCGTGCATTCTTCCATAAGCTGTGTGAGCTCTCCACCAAAAAGTAAAGGAACCTCAAGTTGATCTGGCAAGAAAAATAGAAAAGCTGCTGGTGGAGGGGTATAGACCTTGCTCTGAATTATCAGAGGTAAAACTCCAGACGAAATAAAAACAGCAACTACTTAAGGACTCTGAATAGTCAACAGAAGCAGGTGGGTGAATTGTGGAACAAGTGAATATTTGAACAACTAATGTGGCAACAATGACTCTCCTGGTTTTATGTTTTTCTGTCTACCTGGGTCTTCCAGCTTTGACCAAAAGGCAAGCCAAATAGGGAAACTGCACAGTGGACATATACAACTAAACTCACAAAATCCAACCTTTCTGGCCAAAGGATTGGCAATAAGGGCCTAGTAAAAGCTGTAGAGTATTGTGAAAATCCTACTGTTTTCCTCTCTTTTTTCTCTATCAGCCTGCCCCAAGGCCAGTCACATAGTTGCCACAATAGCATGAACATCTAAAAATTCTGAGATAGGTTTTACCTCTCCAAATAGAGGAATTAGGATAATAGGTCCCTGTTGTGCAAAGAGTATGGAGGTAATTCCTGTTATTTTTCTCTTTTCCTCTTCATTTCTCCCCAAACGTAATAGTCATGGTGGTCACAACTCTAAGAGAAACCCTGTATTTCCAGCTAGATGAGTAAGGAAAGAAGACTTAGGGAACCAAAAAGAATGGAAGAAATACTGCAGAGGACAGAATGAGAAGAAAGGGACCCCCTAATTCTTTATATGAGTTGATACAAATCTCAGGTTCACCCAAGCTGTAAATTTGAAGCACACACCGGAAGAATCATATGCTTTGACAAGTGAACGACCATATAAGCCACGCCTCTCGTCCCAGACTACCCTTTAGTGGCGTATGCAGGAACAGACCCAGACAGCATAGCAAAGGCTTCGAAAACTGAACTGACATCAGAACCACTGCCCTCAGAAGGCAAGACAGATTGATTCCCTACTAAAAGTAACAGAAAAAAAAATTTTCTTCTCCAGAAGATCTTAGTAAAACCCAGAGCTTCACAGCGTAATTTACAAGATGTGCAGGATACAATTTGAAGTTACTCGACTTACCAAGGACGAGGAAAAATATGACCTACTTTCAAGTAAAAGACAGATGCCAGGGCTTCCCTGGTGGCACAGTGGTTGAGAGTCCGCCTGCCGATGCAGGAGACGCGGGTTCGTGCCCCGGTCCGGGAAGATCCCACATGCCGCGGAGAAGCTGGGCCCGTGAGCCATGGCCGCTGAGCCTGTGCGTCCGGAGCCTGTGCTCCGCAATGGGAGAGGCCACAGCAGTGAGAGGCCCGCGTACCGCAAAAAAAACCAAAAAAAAAAGACAGATGCCAACTCTGAGATGACCCAGATGTTGGAATTATCTGAGAAAAACTTTAAAGTAGCAATTATAACTATTCTTCATGAGGTAAAGTGCACTCAGTAGGGAGGAGGGGAAGGGGATTTAATTGCTTGCTCCCTCTTATCTCCTGTGTCCCATGGGTCAAAGTTTGCCCTACAAGGGCAAACTACCATATATATATATATAATTTTTTTTTTAAACCTCCCAGCTCCTTTGGCAACCCTTTGGCAAGTAAGAGACCACGTCTTACAGCAGGAGTTAGAAAACTTTCTGCAAAGGACTGAATAGTCAGTTTTAGTGTTTGCAGGCCATACAGTCTCTTTTACAACTACTCAAATCTGCCATTAGAGTGCCAAACCATAAATAACATATATACAAATGGGCATAGCTGAGTTTCTTTAAACTTTCCCTATAAGAAATGGCAGTAGGCTATATTTGGGCCACAGGTCACAGTCTGCTGATCTATGTCCTATAGCTTAACTCTTCATCCAAAGCTGGAAGTAGCAGGAGGATACAGAGGTTCCGAGACGATGGGGTACATGATCAAAACCGGGGAAGTTTGTGATTTGAGTCCATTTTTGCATCTCCTTTACAGTAAGTTGTGTCCGTCAGTCTGAAGCAATGTCATACAGGATATAATGCACTGTGGACAAATCTGCGTCTGAAGTAGATGTCAGTTCTAGTCAGTAACTCATCGCTCTTTCCAGAACAGAAGGAATGCAAAATAAGTCAGCCTGCCACCAGCTGCCTGGGTGGTCTCCCCAGGGATGGTGCCAGCTAAGTTGATAGACGTACCTGCAGTCGATGGCATCTGGTGCACACTAATATGTGTGCTCATTCGCATGGGGCCATCCACACAGCTCTCAGATTCCACAGTCACCCATTTCAGCCTGAGACAAAGACTATATGCTAGTATGTTTTGGGAGCTCAAGACAGGAAGAATAGAAAACAGAGTTAGGTACAGAGGATGGGAAGCAATGAAAGGTAATGTGTTACCATATGGACACTGGTTCACCATGAGCTGTGAAGAGATTCAGCTGGTCACTCAGCAGGTTCACTGGCTCAGCCGTGTGGGACACCTCCATATAGGCTATTCTTTGCTACAGCCATGGTAGGGAGGGAAAGAATTTATCTGCTGGCTCCTTCCCATCTGCCAATGGTAAACATGTGCCCAAAGATTTACTTGGCTTGTCTTTGCCTTTTCAAAAGGTACTTGGGAAACTGCAGCATGTAGCTGAGTCTCTGGAAGTGGCCAGAAGAGCCAAAGGCTCTGTAGCTGGCTGTCCGCAGGCAGCAGAGCCATTTAAATGGGTTCACAGGGAGTCAACTGGCCGTAACAGTGGCTTACGTGAAGCCATGCTGCCTGTTGCCTGGGAGACAGGTGAAGCCAAAGAATCTCGAGGTGTCTAAATTACACCCACAAAGAAGCTCTCGGTGCTTACTTATTCAACAAATATTTATTACACTCCTAGACACTGTACAGGATCTTGGGAAAACAGAAATGTTTTCTGCCATCAAGGAACTTTGTCTAGTGAAGATAACATAAATAAACATTTTGCACAATGTTTAGTACTGTACGATGAGATTTTTAAAATGCCATAGCTTTCCAGAGGATGTTCAACCATGCCTAAGAACTTTGGGAAAGGTGTTCCCAGAGAAAACCATGAATCGCATTCAATTTTGTAAAATCGAAGTCTTCGGTTAGAAAGGAAACTTAAGAGCTCATCTGGCCAACGATGTACTTCAATCCCCCAAGTCTTTATTATCCTGGCACCCAAGACAAGATAAACACCACCGCAATCCCCACCTACCTCAGCCTGCATTACATATTCGGGCATTATTAACCATTTGCACTTTCCAGATCAAAGACATTGCATGTCTCTGAGCCTTTGTAAATAGAAACCCCTGCCCAGAACGCCCTTTTGTGTTGCTCAGGACAGATGACCTTATGTTACCACATCATCCACTCTGCAATTTCATGGCTTTAAACAACAAAGATTTCTTTCTTCTCATTGTCACCACTCAAGAGACAAGACTAATGATAGCTTTATCTTAACGTATCGTTTCCACAGTTTCTGTAGCAGTGCGATGGAAAAACGGTCAGCCACTACTGGCATTGAAAGCTTCTACCTAGAAGTGATACACGCCACTATCCCTCACATCTCATTGGCTCAAGCACAACCAGTAGCCACGCTTTTCAAGAGGATAAGGACACGCTATTCTACTGTGTGCCAAAGAGGTAAGAACCAGAAATAGTCAAGGAAGGGTATTAATGACTCACATTTCTAAAACTTCTCCACCTGCCTAATTCCTACTCGAGCCTCTAGATCAGGGGTCTCCAACACCTGGGCCGCGGGCTGGTACTGTCTGGCAGCCTGATAGGAACCGGGCCGCACAGCAGGATGTGAGTGGCAGGCAAGCCAGAAAACCTTCATCTGCCACTGCCCGTCACTGGCATTACTGCCTGAGCCATCCCCCCCAACCTAGGCCGTGGAAAAACTGTCTTCCACGAAACCAGTCCCTGGTGCCAAAAAGGTTGGGGACCGCTGCTCTAGATTCAGGCCAGGTGTTATCCATTCAAAGCGGTCTCCCCGCTCCATCTCCCCCACCCTCCTGCTGGTTAAGGAGACCTCACCAGAGCTCCAGACACCATGCACCTGCCTCATTGCACCACAATACTGCAGAGGTCTTCTCTCTCCGCTTGTCCCTCTCCCCAAGCCCCCTCTCACTTACCTCCGTGTGCTCAGCACCCAGCACAGTGCCTGCTCTCGTCAACAGACACTCAATGCATGTTTGTTGAACTGAACAAAACTAAAACAGAACTTAAAAGGAAACTTCCTTAAGAATCCATTTTAACAGTACTAAGTGAAGCGTCGCACAGCACTTTAAGCTTTTTTGCAATGCCAGTCTCTCCTCCCCTGCTGTTTATCAAATTAAAGTGACACATTCAGGCGATAAAAAGAACTCCCCTTGCACAGAACCTAAATATAAACATCTTAGGAAACCTTTACCATCATCCGTCTTGCTGGTTAAGTGTACCTTGCCCAAATCCTCAAGTTTGGGTTTGTTTTCTGGGTTTTTTTTCCCCTAAGCAGAGTTCAGCAAGGAGGTAGGGCCTAGATGGGGAAAGGAACTCATTTCCCTAGCTCTTTGCAAAGACAAAAATCAGGTCATAAGCAAAAGTCATTTGGAAATCTGATTTCTCTATGGGCTCATCTGTTCTACTCTGCTAAGTGGGTGAATCCCACGAGCACCAGTCCTGTCTTTTCTGGGCCATTAAGAAAGAAGGGGAACTTGTACTTACAAATTTCCTCAAGCTCAGGCTCCTTTGTTGGTGGTCTCAAAAACTTAGGCCAAGTCCACTGTGGGGCTGAACACAGCCAAGGACAGCTCTGTGGTGATACTCGGCTGGCAGTGAAGCAGGGACGACATCTTGCTGCAACTCCACGCAGACGCTCTACGAACAGCCCAGGCAGCCCCTTCCTAGGCCCTTTTTGTAAGGTGTGGTTCATGGGCCACACCTGGGGCCTCATTAGAAATTCAGAATCTCAGCTCCTTGCCGCATACTTGCTGAATCAGAGCATGCTTGTTCAGCAAGCTTCCCAGGTGACTCTTGTGGACCTTAAAATTGGAGAAGCCCTGAGCCGGGCTCTGAACACGGTTTATGGAGGAGACGGATACGTGTAAGGACAGCTGTGCCCGTCACAGCCCCATCTGTCACTTGGGAGAGGTAAACACTCCTTGACCCATGAAGCACAGCACTGCCTTTATTCACTGTGTAGGAGACAGGAGGGACTGAGCGGGAACAGAGTCACGATGGATCCTAGGATCTCAGTGCCAGGTGCTCTGTGGACAGCACTCTTTATCATCATGCTGGTGGTCAGCAAGGTTGAAAAGGTGGACAGCCAGTTTACCAAGGGGTGACCCAAGAGACCCAGAGATGCTGCAAAAACATTTCCAAAGGCTCCAGAGGTGCCCAGCCTCTTATACTACAAGCTACACCTGGTATCTCATTCACAGCCTTCACCTTAGGTGAGGGGAGGGAGAGGTAGGGGAGCCGCAGGATTTGTGAGCTGGTTAAAACCTTCCAAGTCTGGGCTTCCCTGGTGGTGCAGTTGTTGAGAGTCTGCCTGCCGATGCAAGGGACACGGATTCGTGTCCCGGTCCGGGAAGATCCCACATGCCGCGGAGCGGCCGGGCCCGTGAGCCATGACCGCTGAACCTGCGCGTCCGGAGCCTGTGCTCCGCAATGGGAGAGGCCACAGCAGTGAGAGGCCCGCGTACCGCAAAAAAAAAACCCAAAAAGCCTTCCAAGTCATTGTTCTCCCTTCCGCAAATACGGGGCCTCTCCTGTCCTTGTCTATCTTCTCATCTGACTGTCATCTATTTCTGAATGCCACCTGTCTGATGTCCACAATCTCTCCTTTCCTCGCTGCTGTCCCTCTTGTGTCACCACTCTTCACATCACTTTGGTGGACTGGTAACTTGACTACCCTTTGATGTGATCTTGTGTAATCCATCACTTTACACTTTCACGATAGAGTATTTTAGTCCACGTCATTCCATCTACCCTGGGATGAAGGCATTTCTCTACTGACGTTTGCTCCCTTTTCATTGTATTATTGTACCACATACAATGGCATTACACATTTAGTGAGTTCTTTTGCGAAGGAACTAATACAACACGCTGCCTATAGTTACTTGAAAGCAATTCGGCATGGGTAAAAATCTTGCTTCGTCAATTATCTCTGCTCTCTCCATCTCCAATGGCAACTGACCTTCAACCTACAACATATTAAAATCGCTTCCATCTTTAAAAAAACCCAACTTTCTTCAGTATTGTTCTTCCTGAAGCATACCATCCCATCTCTTCCTTCCTTTTGGTGTCCTTAACTATCTTCCCTGCCTCCGTTTCTCTCTTTTTCACTGCCACCTAAGTGGACTTTCTAAAACCTACACTGTGACTGCACTCCCCTGCTTGAAATCTAGTGAGGTCTTTCTTCCATTAAATTTGATAGGAATTAACACAGACATTGCCCTTTGCAGCTAAGTCTCAGCCCCACTTACCAGCCTTATTTCAAGTCATTCCTTACCTGCTCAAATCATACATCCAATCCCATGGTGCTTTCAAATCACAGTCATCGTTTTTCCTTCTCCCTGTCTGTGCTCATAACAATTCCTCTATGTAGATGGCTTTTCCCTATTAATACCTGATGAAGTCTGCTTGCCTCTCAATACCCAGCTCAGGTCACCTCCCTTGGTGAAGCCTAAGGCCTTGCCTCACCTCCCCCATGTCTTAAAGTGTCTTGGCCGTGCCTGTGTCTCATTCATTGCCATGTGAATAATTGCACTCTGCAGTATGAACTTCTTGAATGCTTGAACTTTTATTTCGTCTCTATATCCCAGCTTCTAATATAATGCCTGATATATAAAGGTACACAAATATTTATTAAATTACATTTCAAATGGGTTCCAATTTTTTTATCAGTTTATTACATACTGTGGTTTTAGATTCATAAGATGTTAAGAACTCAATCCAGAGAGTCATGTACAGAGAGGGGCATGACTGGAACCAAGCAGTACCCTATGGGGCCTTCCCAGGACAGGAGCACCCCCTCTGCCCCATCCCCCTTCCAATGTCCTCCACCTGCCTCTTGCTTATAGAAAAACTTTAGCCTCCTAGGCCTTCCCCGAGTTCCAAATAATAATTCAATCAGAGAAGTGAGAAAATGCAGAAACAAAGGAAAACAGTCAAGCAGGACAAAATAATAATAGTTTAGCCATTAAACAAAGTCAAGGACCTTTAGTTCCTCCTCAAGGGCTATAGATAATATCCTGAGCCATGTCCTTTGAGCTGTTTTGCAGACGCTGAAGCCCCCACCAGGTGGAAGAAGTTAACTGTATGTTGACCACAAGCACATAGACCCCAGACCAGCTGGAACCAGAAGGTTGATGATCTTGACTCCCAGTTACCTCACCACCACCCAGTCAGAAGAATGTCCATGAGCTGATTTGCACCGTGCAATGCTCTCTCGCTCACCCTGTCCTTAGAAACCTTTCCCTGAAAGCCATCGGAGAGTTCAGGCCTTTTGTGCGTTAGCTGCCTGGACTCCCTGCTTGGCTCCTGCAATAAATGCTTCACTTTCCTTCACCACGATTCAGTGTCAGTAGATTGGCTTTTCTGCTCATGGGAGAGTGGACTCAAATTTGGTTGTAAATCACCAGGCCTCTTAGCCGGGAACTTCCTCTCCCCATCTGCTTTTGATTTGATCTCCTGGGGCTAGAGAAGTTGAAAAGCAACTTTTCTAGCCTCCCCAGCTGCCAGAGATTAGCCTGGATGATTTTACTACTGGGAAGGGGGAAATGCTGGACCCATCCCCCCGCTGGCCAGATAGCCACTGAAAATGAGGCCAAGCTGGAGTGGGCAGCAGTGAGGCCTCTGTACTTGAGGAATTTGAATACAGAGAAAGGAGCCTGGAGAACTGCGAATTGTTTTCACTTAAAACTTGTACACGTATAGCTGATTCCCTTTGTTATACAGCAGAAACTAACACAACATTGTAAAGCAATTATACTCCAATAAAGATGTTAAAAAAACCCAAAACTTCACACTTGCTTTACGGGGCGGAGCAACAGATGCAGGCTGTATTGGGGGCACCTTACAAAACCCCCCTTCACTTTGCTCAGTCTCGATTGCCCACTCGGCTGGCCTCCGAACTTAATGTGTATGGTTCCTTAACCGCGTTGCGTCCAGCTCTTCAGAGCCGTGCTGTGAGCAGAACTGAGTATCCTGAGGGTGCAGATCTGACTTTAGCTGGGGGTGGACCAACTTCTCGGCTGGCTCAGGGACCCCGAGTGGGCCTATGGGAGAGTGGTGAACTGTATTTCACATACAAAAGGTCTTCCATACAACCCACCCCTGCCCCCAAGGCCAGGGTGTGCAGCCTTGAGTTTCAGGACTTGTCTGAGTCTAAATTTAGGTACCTTGAAATGTTAAAGCTTTCTGATGCTCCAATCAACTCTGTCTTGTGCCCAGACATCAGGGGAACTTTTCTGCTCTCAGAAGAAATAGCTTCTCCCCGTATGTCATGCTGAGCTCACATCATCATGAGATGACTCCGTGAAATGTACAAGAATTTTTCTAAAAATTAGCTGGATGTGTTTGTATGTGAGCAAGCATGTTGTGATCTCTATGTCCTCTATGTAAATAATTGCAATGCAAGCTTCTTAAGTATTGAAATACTTCTATTTTTTCCTGGAGGAAGGCTTCATATGTGTATCCATATTTTTAAGTTCTGAAATCTGATTTTTTCACACCTTGAGATATACCCAGAGAGATATTTACTGCCCTAAAATTTCAAATCTAACAAAACCGCATTCATTTAGAAAGTGTTCATCTATGCCTTGGAAATCCTCAGGAGGAGAATGAAAGTGACAGTCAATGAAGTCGAGCTTCTATTGCGAGGAATATTTTTTACTCTCGTTCAAAGACTTTTGAAAAAGTGGAATATAAACATGATAGAATTGCAATTGATGCAGGGAACTCTGCATCAGATACTCCATCTACACATGATGAAATTGAAAGCGTTGAATGCAAGCTGGCAATGCTCTTTGAAACAAAGCTATAGCTTGCCGTCCATGAAAAGATTATGGTTTGTGCAGAAGAAAAAGCTTTTCAAAAAACACCTCCTCAAAGTTGTCAAACAAGAGATGAGATTATTTGAAATTAAGTCAAAGGAAAATGTTTGGAGTCAGTTTATGAATAATTTCACCATCATCCTTCCCATGAAGAATCAAAGATTTATCAACAACTGGAGCACTGCACTGAAGTAAACTCTCATCATGACACCATAGTTTTTTTTTTTTCTTTTTTTTTTTTTTTTTTTGCCATATGCGGGCTTCTCACTGTTGTGGCCTCTCCCGTTGCGGAGCACAGGCTCCGGACGCGCAGGCTCAGTGGCCATGGCTCACGGGCCCAGCCGCTCCGCAGCACGTGGGATCTTCCCCGACCGGGGCACGAACCCGTGTCCCCTGTATCGGCAGGCGGACGGACTCTCAACCACTGTGCCACCAGGGAAGCCCGACACCATAGTTTTTTTTAATGTGAACTTAACTTTTAAATAATATTTAATTTTCAACTTCCATGGTTGATAAAGTTTTTCCTTTTATACAGTGTTTTTGAGTATTACTTTATGCTATTAATTATATTGTTAGTAAGTGATTTTAGAATAACCAAGTATGTTTAATAAGCATACTTTTAAATTTTCCATTTATAGTTGTTTTAGAGTATATTTAATTTTTTAGTTGTCACATATTAAATATTTGGTATCATTTTTTATTTCACAAACTCTAGCTACATTAAAGAACAGAAAATGCTAAGATCAGTACTACTATTTCAATGTTATACAAAATAAATACCA